TACACCAGAAGCTGGGTATAGAGGCTTGATTAGCCAGGTTAAACATTGCTGGTCAGAATCTTTCACAGTGATGTCGCATTTGCCCTAATGCTGCAGCAGGCGGCTCCTCCTCTCCTTATCCCACTATTTGCAATGCTAAGTTTGATGATTTAGTTACGGTAGTAACTGGAATGTATATTCTTCTCTGCATCCAATAGTCAAGTTTTAGGTTCTCAAACAAACGGTAGTATGTGGTATACACTCTTGTGCATCTTGGAGGTCTTGTATACAGAACTTCCTCAATTTATCTTTTATCTTTAATAGCTACACAGTGAGGATGTAGTATAATTTATTTATCTGGTCCCTTAACGACACACATTTGAGCTGTTGCCAATCAGTTCCCATTACAAACAACAATAAAATGGGTAACATTCCACGCACATCATCACTTGTGCAACTGCAAAATGAGATAACTTCCAGAAGTAATACTGCAATGTCACAAGGCAGACATGTGCATATTTATAGTTCTGATAGTCATTGCCAGTTGCTCTCCATAGGCCCCAATCAATCTCTTCCCCACTCTGGCAATGTATCAAAGCCCATGTTTCCAAAAACTGCATTAACTTTTGGATTGTTTCCAATCTGATAGGCAAAAATTGTTATCTGAATGCAGTTTGAATACACATTCATTTTATAAATGGAAGGAACATCTTTTCATATATTTAGGAGGTACCATTTATACTTCTTGCATTTGCATGTGAACTACTTATGCATGCTGTTTACCTGTTTTCTTTCTATTTTGGCTTTTCTTTCTTCTTCCTCTTCTTTTTTTTTAATTTCTAGGTGCTCTTTCAATATTAGGGAAATTGCTTCTCATCTATAAAATAAGTGAAAAAAAATTCCCATTTGTTTTCTGACTTCTTTTATGTTTTCCCCTCTAGAAGTTTATTTTTGTGTATCCAAAGTTATTGACCTTTTCTTTAAAGTGTCTGGATTTTTTTTTTCGAGACAGAGTCTCACTTTGCCACACTCAGTAGAGTGCTGTGGTGTCACAGTTCACAGCAACCTTCAGTTCATGGGGTTTAGGTGATTCTCATGCCTCAGCCTCCTGAGTATGCTGGGACTACAGGTGCCTGCCAGAATGCCTGGCTATTTTTTT